CTCCAGAAGTGCTTGAAAAACTGGCGCTGGAAATGGCTGAGTATAGCTTGGACAAACTTGCTAACCTTTCTTGTTTCACTTACAATTGTGCTAATGTTTTCTCATTTCTGCTCTGAAATTAACCCCTTCATTAGCTCAATTCTTGCTGAGTTTCTTTCTTGTACACCCTTGCCAAAAATCAGGTCTTGTATGTCTCTGGTCTCCAATTTCTCTTTTTCTTTAGTTACCTTTTCTATGAGTAATTCACTTACTTCTTTTTCTAAGATACACCACATTTTCTGGAGTTCTGAGCAAGCAGCAAAATAATCTTGTGTTTTGATTTTTTTCCCAGCATATCTTGCACATATTGTCTGAGTATAGCTCCACCTTTCTCATGTTCAGGATTTGCATTGTCGGAAGCAGGCTGTTTAGACACTTTATTTTGAAAACCCATTCTTTATTTTGAGCTATGCTTCTGCAGTTTTTTTCTCGTACTCGCTCTATGTTTTTCTATACTTTACTCTACACAATTGCTTCTGTTTCTTGCTCTGCCTCAACTAATTTAATTATGCTTTTTAAATTTTTCCACTCAGTATCAATGGTGGCCTCGGTTAGTCATATAATAAAGCTTCTTGCTGCGTCATCTATTTTTAGATCTTTCCACCTTAACTCTGTTATTGCATGTTTGTTCCATGGCCATCTTGGGTTGATTATTTCTGTACTGAGAGCTTCTTTTTTTGCAAGCTTGTCTGCTTTCTCATTTTCTTTAACTCCACTATGTGCCTTAACTTTCTTGAAATGAATTTTAAGTTCTTTCAAATCAATCGTTTGCTGTATTTGCTTCAAAAGACAGAGGTTTTTTATCTTCAAAATCTCAGAAGCTCCACCCTTTTTTTGATTTTCTTGTACTGTCTATATTGTAGCTGCGCTATTGGTGCAGATCTCAATTTTGGTTTTGCATGGGGCTGCTAGAAGAGCTGTCCATATTGCACCGAGTTCTGCTCTTGTTGATAAAGGCCAATCTTTTATTGCCTGTGAAAGTTGGCTAGTACTTGTCTGCTAGCTTTATTTCCTTTTTCTGAGACTGCAATCTAGCCAAGACCCATTTTCTTTTTTTTTGGCTCCTTTGTTGAATTAAGTAGAGACCCATCTGTATAAAAGAAAATCTTCTTTTCGCTTTTAAACTTGGACACTGCTTTTTTAATTTTCCCTGCTACTTGTGTGCTTTTGATAGCCTGATCTATTATCTCATCCTCCATTGGATAAATTGTAATATCTCTAACTTGACATTCCTGTGTATTCTCTTCTCTACTTATAAGTGGGCTTGTTTGCTGAAATGGGTTTATGAAGCAGCTTAGTGAAATGCAAAGTTCTCGCCTCTCATCCTGAGAATAAATTTTCTGAATAAATCTTGGATTGATTGCCAGTATATTGCTTTTCCAACTTCTCTTTATACAAGTGGAATCTGCTTTACTACTTTCTGCTTCATTAATGTTACATCCTTTATATTTAGTAAGTATAAGCATGTTCTTGTAAGGATTAGGAGTTGCCTTTCAATGTTCTGTTATAGCTGTTTTTTTTCTCTTTTTTTAACTATTTTTCCTATCTCTACTGTGCTCCCGGATCTAATCAGCACCCATTCTTTTCTTCTTTTATCATTACTTACTGGGGAGATATTTACTTGAGGTGTTAGGCAGTTTGGTGATTGTTTCCTTAAATTTGGTTTGACTCTTCTTCTCCCGAGATCCTCAAAAACTGTTTCTTCAATTTTTTTAAACCAGTTAGGAGGTTTTCCAGATGCTTTTTCCTATTTGCATCTTTTAATCTAGTTCCATGTAAACAGATTTACTTCTTCTTTGTCCAACAATTGTTCTAATACCAAGATTCACATTTTTCTCTAGTGCTCCACAAACTCAAATTAAAGTTTGAATCCCAAATCAAATATTTAATCAAATCAAATATTTGATCAAATCAAATATTTGACTAAATCAAATTAATCAAATAGATCAAATAAGTGATTTAAATGCATTTCGAGTTTGTTTACCATAAATATGTATATACAAGATTCTTTAAAATAGTAATCCTGTCATGAGTTAGAGCTCGAAGAATCGGCCATAGTAACGTTGCAATAAATGTAATAAATAAATACAATGGAATCTATATCGATCGATATATGAGAGTAATGATATATTCATTATTACGGCGTATATTTTGTACAGGCATAATTCTTACCTGATTTACTAATAATCATAGTGCTATATTGCGTCCATATAATTTATTATCAAAAGTTTTTAAAAAACAAAAAATTAGGCGAATTTGTAAATATTTGCTGTTAATTTATTTTTTCATATATAAAAAACCTTTAATTAGAGTTTGAAACTGGGTTCACCTTTTTATATATTTAACTAATCAAAACAGGTTTCAATATATAAAAAATCCAAGCTCTAATTAGATAAATTACTTAAGCTCACAAATATTTACTATTAATTTTTTTTTAAATAATAGTTACTAACTAATAATTTTTTTTTCTGAATATCATATAATACCATCAAATGCAGCATCTTGGAATTATACAACAGGTTCTTCTTTAGTGTCTTAGAGCATTCCATTACAACAAAACTTTCCATCGCATCCCAACTCGATACATAGCATGTATCTTACACAAACTGACTTACTGAGATATGTCTCAATTTCTGGCTTTAGGCAGTACTAATGCAGCTTCAAATAATGTATCTGCGAGCAGTCTTGGATTAAGCTATGCTAACACTGCGCAGATAGGAACAAATTTTGTGTTGAACGACAACAGACCACTGCACCAGCAACAACCACCATCGGAATTCACGATTGATGGTTTTCTAGCTTTACCTGGTGCATCAAATAGTGTAGCAAATCATGGTGTTGTCGGTTCACAGCCAGTATCACATCATCTTGTCAATTATCAACCAAATAGTATGAATGAGTTGAACAATGGGACAATAGACTTATCAGTATCTGGAATTCAAGAAAGTCAGATGAACGTCGGTATGTCTCAAAAAGTCATAATATAATTTAGGGATTCAATAATATTATCCACGCATTTGATCTTTGGGCATTAAAAATTGTTCAGGAGCATAAAAATTAAGATTTTACTTCTTTAATATGACACTCAGGCGGACTTAGGCCACCCCCATATCCTCCAATCAATCCTGTGTCCAAACTGGACAAAAAGATGTTACTACATATAGATAAATAGGCTCGTATAATCTATTTAAATATAAATTAATATATTAATTATACTTTCAAATTCTCCTATTAATTTAGTATTATCTAGATATTTAAAGTGTGCAATTCAAGCTTATTTACTATTTAATTTATTTAAATTTCGAACATTTAGATTATATTAACAGCCTATAAAAATAAATAGTATAACCAATTTTATCGCTACTAATTTATTTATTCATAAACTATCAACACCTACACCAATATAATACAAACTAAACTACTGTTTTACTCATTAACAAAATTGCGCATTGTATAAAAAATTTCAATATAACCATGTTTTCTCAAACAATACAACTTGATTTCTACATAATTATTAAAATCAGGCAGCGAAACTGCCTGAATAATCATATTCTAGTTGCTATATAAAATTACGTCAATAGTATTGTTAATATTAATAGTAAACTTAATTTAAAGCGACCTGACAACCTAATTATTTTGAAAAAAAAAAAAAATAGCCATGAGTATTTAAATTTTTAAGATCCATAAAATTTAAATAAAAATTTTATTAAATATTAGATAAATTGCTAAAATGTTTTTAATCAAATGAATAATATACATAAATACCTAACTAGAAGTGCTATTCAAAGATAAGACGTCCTCTGATTTCTAGTCTAACTGACCAAGTTCTCACAAAATATAAACAAAATTGTACCGCAATGCTTAAAGCCAACAAACCCTATAAAAAAAATTGGGTTAGAACTAACTATTAATAAAATTATTAACTTCCGAACTAACCAGAGAAATGATTAATGCAGTAATTATAGACATAGTGAACAGTTAGACCGAGATCGAATGAATGATTAGATCGTATTATTAAGTTTTTTTTTTTGAATATATATATAAAAAAAAACCCTGTGGGTAAATATTAGCGCAAATCTGTATCCAGAATTGAAATAACTCACCTAAAATATTAAAGATTATTATTGATGTTTGTGTAAGTAAATACGCAACACATAAAAAATCTAAAATTATTAACAAGTAATACAAAATACAGGTTTGAAGCTAAAACTCTTTAAAAATAAGAAGTATTATTAAATAAATCAGCATTGAAGTTTAGTAAATTAAAATAATACATAAACCGGCCCATCAATAATACAGTTCACCCTTGTTACAACGGGCTCCGTTATAGCAGATACCTCATTATAACAGAGTAATTCTCTGGAACAATTTAAAATTATTATTATACTATATAACGCTATAGCAAATATTCATTATAACGGGCAGAATTTCTCAGCCAGATCACTATGTTATAATGAGGATAAACTGTATTGATCATTTCATATTCTGCTTAAAAATAGATATTGAAGTCATCTTGTTAGAATCTTTTACAAATTTAAAATCTAATAAGTATAGAAAATAATAAAAAAAGTAACTTGTTTTTAGAAAAATTCATAACATGTTCCTTTTTTTTTTTTTTTTAGTTAGACAAGTTTGACAATTCGTGGAAATGATAAATCATATATATATGAGCCTACCATACCAAGATTCTAAATGTTAATATAAATTTTGGCATAAACATTTGAATATAAAAGCTTAAAGGAATGTAATAGACATAGTGATCATCTATACATGAGAATAGATGGTAATACTCAATCTTGTTGGCGTTCAAGTAAGAAGGATAGTGCTGGCTGAAATCTGTAGCTTCAAAATATGTTTTGTAAAAAAATTTTTTGAATATAAAACGGGTAATTTTCTTGTATATATGACTTAAATTTCTACCCAATAACAGCAATTATTGCTATAGAAACACAATATTAGAAAAATTATGTAGACTTCAAGAATAAAAATATTAATGATCTTAACAACAAAGGTTACATAACCGATTATCATACATCAATATTGCGCAATTATTCAATTACCTCAAAATCGTTCAATTCATCAGTAAATTTTTCATATCAACATATTATTCCAATCTTGTTTAAATCAAGAAGAGACTTTTGGGTGAAAAACTAGAATAGCGAAGGTAATTTCATTGAATAAGCGTACTACTATTTGAATTATTATTGTTCTGAAGTTACTAGTTTAGTTACTGTTGAAATGGTCTATACTAAACTTTAAAATTTTTCTTTCTCCCAGTAAAAAAAAAAAAGAAAGAGTAATCTAACTGTTAAAATGTTAAAATATATCAAATATATTACGCAATAATCGTCATTGTTTTACCACTGTAGCACTATACTACAGTATACTGAGATTTGGCAAATTGTTTTAACCTTAATAACCTCTAACTCTACATTAGATTTGTTGCTTGATTCAGCAAAGAATTTATTATATTTATTATACTATTTAAAAGAAAATATTCTAATAATAAATTGTTACATAAGAACGGTAATAAAGAACAGTATCCTTTTATTCTAACCCTTTAGAAATCTATCCAACTACCAAGTACAATGGATTTTTGAATCGTCTCTGGATTAAGTGACCTATGCTTTTTAGTGACTGCACCTGAGGCTTTAGAGAACAGCCTCTCTGATAGAGCACTCGTCGCTAGCACTGCAAGATAATCACACGCTATAATTGCCAGTCTTGGAAAATCTTTAATATGCGTTTTCCACCACTCCAATACATTTGTTGAAAAAGGAGCCAAAGGACTATTTAAATATGTTTCAATTTCACATATACTATTAGCATGTTAAATTTTTCTAAATACACGGTTAAAACAATAATTATTGGAAGTAAAAAAATCATAGCTATTATATACATCATGCAAGGACTCAACTGCTCAAGAAACCTATATAGGCTCCCAATTTTCTGCCTTATAATATACTTTTTTGAGTCGCGGGTCTAGTAGGGTCGTTACTGCATATATTGGGCCATCACTTCTGGTATAATAACACTAGGGATGTTAAGTCATCTGCAGGGGACCAGTTTTGGACCGGTTCTGGACCGGACTTTTTAAGACTTTTAGGGACCGTCCACAATCAGTCCGAAACTAGTCCAGATAATCACATGATATGAAC